CTGAGATAGGGAGAAAAAAAAGTGTTTTTTCTACACTCATACACTCGGCATTTAACATTCAACACAGAATGTTCTCTTTTGCTCCCAAAATGCGTGTGGGGATTTCCCCACACACCAAGCAATTCTGTAACAGACACCAGCTGGGTGTCATACAATTCAGGTCAATTCCGACCCTGTCTACCTGGAGATAGCACCAGATCCCACGGGTTGAGGCCTCAGTCCCCAACACTGCCCCCCACTTCAGATGCCAAATGCAAGCCCCAGGTTGTGACCTGTACTTCTGACCAGCTATAAACTGGGGTTCTCATGACTCCACCTCAGGTTCAATTAATTTGCTAGGACAGCTCACAGAACCCAGGAAAACACTTTACTTACATTTACCCGTTTATTTATATTTTAATTTTTTTTCCCCTTTTTGTCTTTTTTCGTGTCCGGCAACGGATTGCAACCCTCAGTGTCGTGCCCGTACCGGACCGGGACCGGAAATGGGATCGCAACCCTCGGTGCTGCGCCCGCACCTCGCTCAGCCAGTGAGCGGGAACCGGTCTGTATGTGGGATCCGAACCCTCGGCGGGAGCGCCGCCGCGCTCCCAAGCAGCGCACTGTAGCAGTGTGCCACCGGGCCGGCCCTATATTTTAATTTTTTTAAAAGATGACCAGTAAGGTGATCTTAACCTTTGGCTTGGTGTTGTCAGCACCACATGCAGCCAGTGAGCAAACCAGCCATCCCTATATGGGATCCGAACCCGTGGCCTTGGTGTTATCAACACCGCACTCTCCCGAGTGAGCCACGGGCCAGCCTGATTTACCTGTTTATTATAAAGGTTGTCACAAAGGATAGGGATGAGCAACCAGATGGAAAAGACACACAGGGCTAGGCATGTGGGATGGGCTGTGCGTGGAGCTCCCATGCCTTCTCCAGGCCCGTCACCCTCCAGGAACCTCCACGTGTTCAGCAACTGGGAAACTCTCCGAACCTGATCCTTTCAGTTTTTATGGAAGCTTCATTA